ACGGCCTCCGAGAATAGGGAAGCGAATAATGACATAAACATAATTACCCCAGTGCGACCCTACCTAGAAGTTGGAGCCCCTAGAAATGCAGCATTAGTTGCTATGCTATGCTATGCTATGCTATGCTATGCTATGCTATGTTAAGCTATGCAATGTCATGCTGCGCTGTGCTATGCTAAGCTATGTTATGCTATGCTATGATATGCTATGCTAAACTGCGCTATGCTATGCTATGGCATGATATGATATGTTATGATATGCTGCGCTATGCTGTGCTATGTTATGATATGACATGATGTGCTATGATATGCTATGTTATGCTATGCTATGAAATGATTGGCTATGTTATGTTATGCAATGATATGCTAATACAGCGCTGCGCTATGCTAAGCTAAGCTAAGCTAAGCTAACCCTCTAGGCAGAGCAGAGGTAGGGCATTACACCCATGCTGTGCTTTGCTGTGCTGTGCTGTGCTGCGCTATGCTATGCTATACTATGCTATGCTGCGCTATGCTATGCTATGCTGGCTATGCCATGATATGCTGTGCTGCGCTATGCTATGCTACGCTATGCTATGCTATGCTATGATGTGCTCTGCTATGCTAAAGCTCAGCGAAGCTAAGATGAAGGTAAGCTAAGCTAAGATACACATGAGCTAAGATGAAGCTACGCTAAGCTAAGATGAAATAAACTAAGCTAAGATGAGATAAGCAACGCTAAGCGAAGGGGACGTAACTGGGGGAACCGCGGGGCGGATGCCGGGGAACCGCCCGGGGCGATTAGCACTGCCCGGCCCCTTTAAGCACACAGGGTAAGAACCCTTCTAGGCAGAGCCTAGGTAGGGAAAAACTCGGAGGTCCGCGCGAATTTCTCGGATCGGCGCTGGACCCCCCTCCCTGGCGCGCGGAGCGCGCCAAGGGCGAATCCAAGAAAGCCGCGCGGATCCAAGAAATCCGCGCGGATCCAAGAAATCCCCCAGGGCCCAGCGAGGATCCAAGAAATCCGCGCGGAGCACCAAACCACCAAACATTTACGTTTATGCCGTTGTTTCTTCTTCGACTCTTGTCGGCTCTTGCGAATCGACGCTAGTCGACGCGATGTCGACGCTAAATCGACGCTAACCGACGCTAGATCGGCACATCTCATCGACTCCCAGACGCCAATCGACGCTAATCGACGCTGAAGATGGAATTCGTAGGGCACACGAGGCTCCCATGATTTGCTACAGAACGCTGGATGCAGGAGAGCCCAAAATCGAATCGATAAGTCGAATCGGCGATCGAAACGAATCGGATCGGCGGAAATCGGCAGCCGAGTTGGGAAAAGTCGAATCGGCGGAAAAATCAGCAGGCCAGTACGCCTCCAATAAGAGATCGGAACCCAAATCGGAATCCCAAGTCGAACCGAATCGGAGTCAGAAGCCATCGAAATCGAATCGAATCGGAGGAATCGAGACGAGCCCTGTCTGGATGGTCCTCCCAGCGGCGTCCCGCTCGAGAGCGTCATGCGCAGAAGGCACCGCTGCGCCACATCGCCGCGCCCGGCCACAAGCCCATCCTCGGCCGCCGGCATATGGTGCTCGGTCGAACCCGCGAAAGCCTCGTCAACCATACGCTCAGACGCTGCTCACAAGCGAAGCGCTCGACACGGTGGGGGCGTTGGTTAAGGGATGCGCCGAGGAGGCTTCAGACCCTGGAGGGTTCCTTATCTGATGAGGGCGGCGGTGATATCCATGGCCAATCCACGATTGGCTTTCCACTGGCGTCCAGACCCTGGATTCCTTATCGAAGGTTTCCCGCTGACGCGGCACTGGATCTCCCTGGGGCGCTTGGCGCGGCAGGCAGCAGCGGCAATGCTGGAGGCGCCAGGTCATGAGGACTTGGCCTACATACGCCACCTGGAAGCAGCTGCTGTCTCTTTGGTGCCGAGCTTCGTCCAGAATGGCTGCAAGATGTTCACCGAGTCGAACATGCGGCTGCTGCTAGAAGAAGTGCGTGCGTCCTCGAGTTCGGGCAGCTTCTTCCTCGGGGCCATGGAGGCGGCCACTGCCAACCGAGCTCGGGCTGATGCCCAGGCCACTCGCGCGCGCTTGCGCGACTTCGTGGACGACGCTCTGGCGGCTGGCGGGCGCGGCGCGCATGCGGTCACCAAGCCGCCTGCTGCTGAGGCGAGCGTGGTGATGTCGGACGGTGGGCTTGAGTTCCCGCAAGTGCCACTGGTCGGGCAGGCTGCGCTGGAACAGACTCTGCTGGAGTGGCGGCGGCTCTTGGAGGTCAGGCGTGGAGCCAGCGAGCCCGCTGGAAGCGGCGGCACCAGGACGCCCATCCCGCCCGCTGAATGGAAGGCCGTCATGGAGCTGCCTGGGATCACGGCGGATGAGGTGCTGGCCGCTGCCAAGACCTTCCCCAAGCGGAGGGCGCGTGGCTGGGACGCCTTCCACCCCCGCCTGCTGCTGCTGCTGGGCCGACCCTTTGCGGAGCGAGTGGCTGAGGTGCTCACGGCGTGGCGGGAGCGCGACCCCAAGCCGACGGGGCTCGTCACCACCCTGATCGTCTTCCTTGGCAAGCCCGACGGCGGCAGACGCCCGGTTGGGCCGATGGCGTTCTGGTTGCGACTTTGGGGACGTATCCGCAGGAAGTACTGCGCTGCCTGGGAGAAGAAGCATCAGATTCCTGAGATTTGGGCCTCCAACTCGGACACCAGCTGCGACAGGGCGGCTTACCTGCACAACATTTACCTTGGTCTGGCCCGTGCGAAGGGCTTTGATGGGGCCTCGGTCTACTTCGACATCAGCAACTTCTATGAGTGGATATACCACGAACTGCTGAAGGAAGCGGCCGAGGCGAACGACTTCAGCGTCGGCCTGGTGCGGGTCTTGTGCGTTGCCTATGCGAGCCCGCGGAGAGCCACCGTTGACGGCGCGGTGAGCGAGGAGAACCATGCTGTCGGCTCGGTGATAGCTGGCTGCTCTTGCGCTACGACTCTCGCGCGGCTCATGCTGTACGATCTGCTGCTTCGAGGACGCGCACTCCTGCAGGTCGGCAGAGTGGACAACGTGATCGACGATGTGGCGGGCCATGGCACAGGCTCGAAGAGAATCTTAGTGCGGCAGATCTCCCAATTCGTGAACGGGGTCGTTCAGATGCTGGAGGACAAGCGCTTGCCCATCAACTGGGGCAAGACCAGGGTCCCGGCTTCGTCGGTCTCGCTGCAGAGGGACTTGATGGCCCAGGAGAGGTGGCCCCTTCCTGCTGCTGCTCTCGTGTCGGGCCACCGAGACCTGGGAGGCGATGCCACTGCTGGCGGCCATCGCCGCGTCACGACGCAGGTGACCCGCGAGCTGGCGGCCCTTCGCCACGCGGCCCGCCTTACCCACATCTTCGAGCCAGGGCTGCGGCAAGCCAGAGTGAGCGA